ATCTGATTGGACCAAAACTGTAGTGCAGGATGAGTCATTAAAATGTTATTTTAATGTCTATTTCCAATTGAATTTTAAAAGTAGGCTCTACTGTATTTGCAATTTGTCGACAAATATACTGGCATATAGTTAGCATCAAAGCTAACGCACACAGACGTAATCCCTTCTTTTTTATTCATACGATAATTAAATAGTTGTGTATTTCATGTAAATTCATAACTGTCAAAATTGGGTATTATATCATAACAATAATTGTTTTGTTTCATTTGGTAATAAAACTATCATGCATGGATGGTGGTACACACACAAGAACCTTTAAGAAAAATATTATCAAAACGAGAAATCTATCGCTTTCTTGAAATAAATAATCGATTATCCGTACTAAACCGTCATGCATGCACTCTATATGCCATAAAAGCTCTATTATTACACTGAAGTGTAAATGTACTCGACTACATAAACAATTACTGTGTAGGATCAAATCACTTACCATAATATCTGAGTGACAGCTCCTGTTTCGGAAGGCTTGAGGTTCCTACGCTTGGTTTGGAGGTTGTGTTGTGAGTAAAAGGAGCGTTCCCGAGTCCTAATATTAGCTAGCAACAGTAGGACACGTCAGATTTTACTCTCATTTCACCATATTTCACTAGGTGGTAAACACGGAAGTGATGCAACGAGGGCTTCTGGTCGCGTGACCTCATCGCTCCTGACGTTTGTAGTTTTTTCTAGAAGTGAACTCAACTGTCTGAGCTGAAAGTTTTACTGCTTCATTCCACGAATACGGTGCACGTTCGTGCCCTGTGACTAATGCATAAGAGACCAATCAAATCCTATGTTTTTTTGCGAAACCTATAAGATATGTTTGATAAACTATTATTTAACATAAAATTAACCTAGAATGTAGCGTATAGCTATTTTAACACACCAACGGCCTATTCCAAAGCTATGCATGGCAAGGAAAATGATCAAGATAATGTTTTAGCTTAGGCTACGTATAAAACAATAAACACTATTTTGTACTGTATTCACAGAAATCGGCTATTACGTTTAATTTTCTGTTATTACAGCTGTACTCAAGCAGTAGGCTAATGAAAACACAAATTTATACAAGAAAGTCAATTACAAAAAAAATGTACAATTGCATGAACAAAATACAAGACACAAAGATAAACGCATCGTTAGCTGTTTTCATGTGATGAAACGTATTTTGCCTGCAGATGGTAGTATTGCTCAATGAATACAGAGAGGTACAGCAGTGGCAGACTTTCATTGGGCATTTGCAGTTTTCGAATACTTTCAGTTAGATGGGAAAATGTCTTTACAGTGCAGATAAACTGATATTATTGTTTATTAACAAAGTGACTGCGCTTCATTTAAAGTTTATATTTTATTTAGTTATATACAGTTCAGTATGAACTGAATTACAAATACTGACTACAAGTTTCCTTTAACCCATACTCTTTGTACAAAATCAATTTTCAAAGATGTTGTAATGTTATTGTAAGAGATATCAAAGGGAATAAAACATAAGGAGTGTGTACAGTACTATTATTGGATTTTAGATTCTACTAAAGTCTGGAAACAATCTTAAAGTTTCTTAATAGAATCCAGGAAGAATCCTATGTAGGAAATGCCTATGTGCCTATGTATGAATTTCCTATGTACATTTATTTATTTGAAATTCATTTTATTAATTAGATTCTTCTTTTTAATTATTCAAGGTAGAAATCAATCTTTAAGGTAACAATTGCAAGTTACCACATTTTGCGGTGTAGAGTTCGTTTCAAATGATTATTGATGTTAATGTTATATTTTCTTGTTTTCTATTGAAAATAGGCTACATTTGAAACTGTGGACAATTCTGTGATCCAGACTTTTCATTACACTGCATGTTACACACATTATGTAACTATAATTAATCCCCATAGTAATAATAACAATAACAATGTGTACTTCAAAGCACCTCCGCAGCTCAATTGCACCTGCAGCACTATATTTATCAATGTGAATAGACAGTAAGATGAACACTGCAAACTAAAGTATGACCGAGTTTCTATTTTACAATTGTGTGTTTATAAATAACTGCAGCGCATAGTTACATGGTGTCTTTTCATCACCGCATCTAAATAAAACTTTATAGTGGTGTAGCTCGTGGATGAATCATTTGAATGAATCTTTTAAATAAACCAATCAGAAAAGTTCACTGAAACAATCAGTGAAAATGAATCTTTTCAGTGAACCAATTCAAAAGATTCGAGTCACTGGGAAGAATCAAAAACCCCACCACTATGTTTGAATCGCACGTCTCTCACAGCCCCCTGTGATGATTGACATTAGATCCCTCCAATCAAATGAGGACAGTTTCAAAAGGGGCGGGATTCTTAGTTGTATCGTAACAAGCTAGGCTGCAACCCCCCAGTCTCAACTCCTCCATACAACCGTACGCGAGCGGTGCCTTGTTTTGGTCTGTTTCGGCGTCGCAAAAAAAGAAAACTCAGCGAGTTTTAGAGGAACTTATGCAGCAATTCAAACGGACTTGGTACGTTTCCGTTGTAAATAACGGTCAGATGCATCCTTTGCGTCGGTGCTTTGTGTAATTGCACTTTTGGGATTTTTGCAGACAGCGCTTTGATCTCCGGGGTAAATGGGGTCGTGCGCTGCTGACTGCGCTTGTTTTGATAATGCATTCGGATCTCCGGACTGAAAAGGACACTGTTTTGTAATTTTTACTGTTTTGTGTTTTTTACATCATAAACTTGGTGCTTTCCGGTACTTGCAATATTTTTGAGGATGTCCGATGGATTATTCAAACTTAGTTGTAACAATGTAATGCTGCTGAAAAAAAATCCAGGTGTACTACTAAATATCGACGAACTGTTATAATTGAAGCTGTTGAAGGAGCGCACAAAAGTGACCTGTTTAAGTGCTATTTTTCTATTTTTACTCAATGGAACCATTTTTGTCTCAGCGCTCACATTTGGCGAAGAGTACATGCATAAGGCTTTGACTTTCGATCCTGCAGTTTTTCTATAATTTATTTTTTATACCATGGCAAGCCCCACCACGGAGCAAGGATGTTTTTCGGCCGTGAAGAAGGTGGGTTATTTAAGGAAACCCAAAAGCATGCACAAAAGGTTTTTTGTACTGAGGGCGGCGAGCGCCTCCGGACCGTCCCGACTGGAGTACTATGAAAACGAGAAGAAGTGGAGATACAAGTCTGGAGCACCCAAAAGGTCCATTCCGCTGGAGAGCTGCTTTAACATCAACAAAAGAGCGGATTCTAAAAACAAGCATCTCGTCGCGCTTTATACCAAGGATGAGTACTTCGCCATCGCTGCTGACAGCGAGGTAGAGCAGGAGTCGTGGTATCAAGCCCTGGTTGATCTTCATAACAGAGGTAAGGTCCACGAAACTGCTGCGGGAGTTGGCGAGGATAATTACGGCGAAGCCACGCCGGGACCTGCCTTCAAAGAGGTTTGGCAGGTTATTTTGAAAGCAAAGGGTCTGGGTCACACAAAGAACTTGATTGGTGTTTACAGATTATGCCTCACCAATAAAACTATCAGTTTTGTGAAACTCAATTCTGATGCAGCTGCTGTGGTCCTGCAGTTAATGAACATTAGGAGATGTGGTCACTCTGAAAACTTCTTTTTCATTGAAGTCGGGAGATCTGCTGTGACGGGGCCCGGGGAGTTTTGGATGCAAGTGGACGACTCCGTTGTGGCTCAGAACATGCATGAAACTATATTAGAAGCCATGAAAGCCATGAGTGAGGAGTTCAGACCCCGCAGCAAAAGTCAGTCATCTTCTAACTGCTCAAACCCCATCTCAGTACCTGTCAGGAGGCATCATCACAACAATCCTCCCCCCAGTCAAGTTGGCTTAGGCCGGCGCTCTCGGGCAGAGAGTGTGACGTCCACTTCTCCTGTTAGATCTGGCAAACACAGCCATTCATTCAGAGTGAGAGCGTCCAGCGATGGGGAGGGCACCATGTCCAGACCGGCATCCGTAGATGGTATTCCAAGCAGTCCGAGCACAGCACGACCTCAATCGCAGCGACACAGGGGTGGATCCTCCAGACTTCACCCGCCACTCAATCACAGCAGATCAATCCCCACGCCCACCTCACGGTGCTCCCCCTCAGCCATCAGCCCCATCAGCCTGTCTTCCAGCAGCACCAGCGGCCATGGATCCACATCTGACTGCCTCTTTCCACGCCGCTCAAGCGCCTCCATATCTGGATCGCCCAGTGACGGCGGATTCATCTCCTCGGATGAATATGGATCCAGCCCCTGTGACTTTCGAAGCTCCTTCCGTAGCGTGACTCCAGACTCACTTGGCCACACGCCACCTGCCAGGGAGGAAGAGATAAACAACTATATCTGCATGGCCAAGCCTGGTTCACTTCCTGGTGCCGGGAGCCAATCGCGAAGCCAATCCAGGGGAACGCCATCGAGACTGGAGGAGCCCGAGCTGGAG